GTAATTTTTTGTTTTCTCCATTGAAAACAATTGAATGGTCTGTCTAATGGTTTCCAATGGAGAAAACAAAAAATCATCATAAATTAACGAAGTGTCAGAACAACACCAAATTAAGTTTGCATAGGTTTCAGGAGGTGGGCTAACCATTGCAAGCATTTAAAACGGCTTCCAAACATTGTAAGACACTTTTACAGGAACGAAAAAGAGACATCGTTGTGTGAAAATCCCCCATAGGAAACATCGCTGTGTGAGGCGGCAAATTTAACAGAAAAAGGCATCGCTGTGTGAATTCATCGTTGTGTGAGGCACCCGTTGTGCGAGGCACCACTGTATTCTTAAAATGAAACAAATAGTCTCTGAGATGAACGAAGAGGCGCCATTCTGGATATGTAGTAGGCCAAAGCTTTTTCCACATTAGTTGTAGGGTTTGGAAAAAAGTAGGAAGGATCACTGGCTGATTGAGGTGGAAAGAGGTGGCCACCTTTGAAAGAAAAGAAACATCTGGAAAGAGAGTCACCTTATCCGGATGAAATTGTATAAAAGGTGGGTCTGCTCGTAGCGCTGTCAGTTCACTCGCCGCCTCACTGAAGTGACAGCAAGAAGGAAAGCTGTCTTGAAGGTAAGTAGCCGCAAAGATGTGGAAGCCAAAGATTCAAACAGTGGGGACATCAACTTACGCAAGACAAGCTGAAGAGACCACTGTGGAGTGGGTGGCTTGTAGGCTGGGCGCATACTGTGGAGACCCTTCAGGAACTGCTTTAACACAGGATGCTGAAATAACCTAGCTGCATCAGAAAGGGGTGGCTGGTATGCCACTATCGCAGAGCTGTAAAATTTCAGAGTGGAGTGTGACAAACCATGGTGAAAGAGGAGGAGAAGGAATCTCAGAAGGGTGTCCAATGATGTGGGACACACAGGTAAGTCATGTTCTGCTGCAAAGTCACAGAAAGATTTCCACTTTCGTGCATACATAGCCAAAGTAGAGGGCCTACGGACCCGGTTAAGGACATCTTCTATAGAAGGTCCAGCCTCCAGGCCGTGAGGTGCAGGGAATCTAGATCCAGATGAAGTGTCCTGCCATTGTTGAGAGAGAGTAGATGAGGAAGGTTCGGGAGCTGAAAATGATCTACAGCCATCTACAGTAGGAGAGCGAACCAGGGCTGATGGGGCCACCAGGGAGTGATGACGACTGCTTTCTGTATCAGGGGGATGGGAGGAAATGCGTACAGGAGTCCTTCCGTCCAAGGGACCATGAACGCATCCCCCTCTGAGTGAATCACGGCTCCCACTTGGGAGCAGTACCTGCTGCATTTGCTGTTTGTGGCTGAGGCAAACACATCCAGGGATGGCGTGCCCCACCTCTCACAGAGGGAGTAGAAGACTGCATTGTCCAGAGCCCACTCATGAGAAGAGTTCTGGGACCTGCTCAGACGATCTGCAAGGAGGTTGTCAGTGGAAGCCACATGCACTGCAATGAGGAAGATGTGGTGATCGTAGCACCATTACTAAATCTGGGTTTTAAGAAACAGAAGTTGCTGAAAGCATGTACCTCCCTGCTTGTTCAGATAGTACACCGCTGTGGTGTGGTCGGATGCTACCTGCACTACTTTCCCTGTGAGGAGGCACTCGAACACCTGAAGAGCCTTGAAGACAGCTAGAAGCTCTAGGACACTGATGTGAAGAGCAGTTTCCTCTAGAGACCAATGACCATTGCCTGTCAAATTCAGGACATGTGCACCCCAACCAGTCAGGCTTGCAACTGTGGTGAATTCATACGGCCCGCCCTCCGCCCCGCTGTACGTCACGACTATTTAAAAGTATACTGTACATCAGCTGATAGTTCTACAGAACTGGAGCACTCAGTGCAGGGGCGGTGATATAACCTAGGTGGGAGGTCCCTCGGCCTATGGTGCTTAAAGCTATAGAAGCTTCCGAGATGCTCTGCTGGAACAGAGATTAACCCATTAGTGTGTATTCACAGAGGCCACGAAGGAGAACCTCACCTGGATGACTGAGAATCTTCACAGAAACATATTATATGGTAAATCAGACTAGATTCAGTTGAAGGAGGAGTGAACATTGGTGGAAGAAACATAATTAATTTAAAATATGCAGATAACATTGTCTTACTGGCAGAAAGTGGCAGTGACTTTTAGCAAAAGGGAAAGAAGAAAGTGCCAAAGCAGGAGTGCAGTTGAAATTTAAAACAAAAATCATGAATACAGAACTACACAACTTTCACATTGACAATGAAGAAATTAAAATTGTTAAAGATTTTGTCTATCTTGGTTAAACCAGCAATCCAAATGGAGACTGCAGTCAAAAAAATCAGAAGACTGAGACTCAGAAGGGCAGCAAGGAAGAAATTAAAAAAGATTATCAACTATACGGATGTGTCACTGGAGACTCAGATCAAGATCATCCATACTATTGTATTTCCAATCACCATGTATGGGTGTGAAAGCTGGACAGTAAAGAAATCTGACAGGAAATAAAATTATTCATTTAAAATATGGTGCAGGAGCAGAACTTTGTGAATAACCTGGACTGCCAGCCTGAATTATCTCCGGGGGCAAACATGATGAAACTGACTGTCTTGCTTTTGGCACATCATGAGAAGGTAAGATTCTCTGGGAAAAGACTAATGTTCGGAAAGGTGAAAGAAAGCAGGAAAAGAGGAACACCGAATAAAGTAAGGATTGAGGAACGATGAATAAGGTATGGATTCCCTAAAGGAATTCCCCCAAAGCTCTCTCATTCATAGGATTACCATAAATTGGAGGTGACCTGATGGCAAATAACAAGCAGTTCCCATCTTTTAAAAAAAATATGATGAGCTGTAAGCACAGAAAATCGTTCCTTTTTGAAGGTAAGTGTATCTTGGACAACAGCTCAGCTACAGTTAGAAATGCAGTCTATGAAATAGCCTGTCTTCTGTGAATAACATGCCTTCTGGCTTCGAGAGGATGCAAGGACAGGCAAAAACTTTCTGTAACCCTCATGCTCCAAAATCAGACATTTAAATCTCTTTAGAGTTACTTTTTGTCACAGCACTAGTTCTGTATTGTAGGGTTTCTACAGCATTACCACTTGAAGAGCTGTAAACAGTGCCCCTGAATTTTAGCCAGCTACCATGCATTTTTTTTAAAAGAGCAACAAACAAAAGCAAATGAACCAAAGCAATGAAAACATAAAACATCCCAACCAATCTATTGGTTCTTGTCACTAGGGTGCTTTTCTGTCCTGGCAGACATAAAGTATTAAGACAAAAACTTCCCATTCCATTCTACAGTCAACCATGAAACAGAGAAGCAAAACAGAGAAAACAAGAGAGCAATTTTACATCTTTTCCACATTCTAGATCTTTTTCTCTCTTATCTAGCTGGATTAGTATATTAAGCAGGGGGACTGAATTTGTGTGACTATGGATGAATTTCTATCTTCCTCTCGTATGAGCTCTGAATATTTACACCAGAACTAGTATACTAGGGTCTGTCTGTCCTTCTCTCCACCTTTTTTTTCCTTCTGTGGTGACGCAAATCCCACTACCTTCTGGCCTTTGTGCAATTTCTGGAAGGGTGCCTGTGGGCAGAAGTAAAATCATCCTGTCTATCACACCCCCTAAAAATGACGGCACAGTGTAGTGCCCCCTCTCCTAACCACATTTCAGGTCACACTGTTTTGCATTTTCCCCATTTGCTCCTATATTTTTTTTTCCCACAGGAATCTGGAAACACACAGGTACTGTTCCAGGGCAACACAAGGATTAGGCTAGAGTGCCACCAAAAGAGCTCAGGTTGGGTTGGGCACCTTCCTGTGCTATGAACTGTGTTGGGGGATATATATCTGCACTGCTAACTGTCAATACACTGGAATTCTCAATGGGGTCAGAAAATATCACACAATTCACTAAGTGAACCAGGAATGATGAGACTTGAAGTGATTGCAGCAATCCAGAGGGCAAACTACACCCCTCATGCTCACACAACAGTCCCTAGACTCATCTGCAAGATATTTCCAAAGAACAGTGAAGTTCTGCACTAAATTGATGAGTGCAGAAAATATTTTATACGAGTGTAAGAATCAAAAGATAGATTTGCCCCAAGAATTTGAATATTTAGCATAGTATTACTTAGTGTAAAACATCCTGCAATCTGGAGAAATATAATGGATAGCTGAATTACATTTGAAGCTCTTTCATGTAAACATATTAAGCCACACTGTGCTTATTTAACAAAGGTTGTGATGAGTAAAGGAGAAATGCAAGTTAAGAGCAGCAATCACAAGGCTAAGCCAAACTCAACTTTAGTAGCTAAAACATCACATCAAATCTAGAGGACAAGTGTGTGTTCAGTAACCCAAGTGTTCAAGATGAGCTTAAAAAGCAAAGAGCAGGTACTGCTTGAGGCAGGCAGGCAAGGGGAGAATTTGCTAATAAGAGACCTGAACTACCTTTCTAATCACAGGAGTCAGTATTTTACATATCCAAGCATCCTTTTGTATCTGTGGAGATGTCTGACATTTAAGCATGCACAGGTCTGGGTTGCAGCTTCAAACCACAACATCCACAGTTCCTATGGTTGTGTCTAACACCATTGTTTCCCCAGCTAAATATACAAACTTTTAGTGGAGTTCCCCACCGCAGTCTCTCTGGACATCTACCAAATTTACTTCTCATAGAAGGAAGGAATCTGCATTACTCACTTGAGTATCCTTCCATTTGGTAATAAAGCTATTCTCAACATCCATTTGTCTCACTTGGTCTTCATGCACCTGCTCACAAAAACAAACAATGTTGTTAAGACAGGTACCCAAACATATTTCTAAATACTTGCACCATTCACAAAAAAGCAGCAGTGGCTGGGTCACTGCAAGACACACCAATACTTCAAATGAGTAAGACACATGGGGAAAAAATACAGTGGTGCCTCGCTTAATGATGATAATTGGTTCCAAAAAAATCACTGCTAAGCGATTTCATTGCTAAGTGAAACACGGTTTCCCATAGAAATGCATTGAAAACCAGATAATCCATTCCAATGGGAACGGATTACCGTCCTTAAGTGAAAATCACCATAGGAAACATCACTAAGCGAAACACGGTTCCCCAATTGAAATGCATTGAAACCTATTCAATGCATCTCAATGGGGGAAAAAAATTACAACAAACTTAAAAAGAGTCAGGACAAAGTCAAATTAGTTTAACAAAGAGTTTATTAAGTGCACTTATGATTTCAAGCATTCTAAACATTTTTAAACATTTAAAAAACAGCCAACATGAGGCTGTCAAAACCATTGTTAAACGAAACAGGGGAACCCAAACTGTCATCGCTATGCGAAGCATGGTCCCAAACATCGCTTTGTGAAAATCGCCCATAGGAACCATCGTTAAACGGAGCGCAAGATTGCTCCGAAAAAGTCATCGCTAAGCCACTTCATCGTTAAACGAAGCAATTGCTAAGCGAGGCACCACTGTAACAAACAAGCTCTGAAACAGACTATTTTTCACAACTAGCTGTAGGGACAACCAACTGCAGTGTTTAGTCTCTTAACTCTGCTGCAAAATAATTTTGAGGAAAGTCTGCACTTCTTTTCTTTGCTGGACTATACTTTCTAGTTAGTGATGGGTAGAAGATAGCAGCAAGTCTATATGAGCTGTTCTATCCCTCCTGGTAGCATTTTTGAGTGTTTTTTTGAAAGTAAGGCAATGACAAGAATGGATCTAGCTCAGCCTACTCCATCTGCCACTTTTTGGAGCCTGAACTTGGGTCTTTTTGCACTGTTCCATTCTTAAGTTAAGAGTCTGCAGCTAAAGGTAAAAGTAAAGGTTCCCCTTGACAATTTGTCCAGTCATGTCCGACTCTAGGGGGTGGTGCTCATCGCCGTTTCCAACCCATGGAGCTAGCGTTTGTCCAAAGACAATCTTCCGTGGTCATGTAGCCAGGACGACTAGACAAAACGCCGTTACCTTCCCACCGTGGTGGTACCTATTCATCTGCTCGCATTTTGCATGCTTTAGAACCGCTAGGTTGGCAGGAGCTGGGACAAGCGACGTGGGCTCACTCCGGCACGTGGATTCGATCTTACGACTGCAGGTCTTCTGACCTTGCAGCACAAAAGCTTCTGCGGTTTAACCCGCAGAGCCACCACGTCTGCAGCTAAAACCCGTGGTTAAACATTTCATCATAAATCATGACATACCAAACAAACAAACCACTAATAAAAATTCATAATTATGGTACTTTTGGGGGGCACGATTGCAATTCTATGCAGTTATTTCTAACTAAGTTCCATTAAATTAAAGGTTTCTGAGAGTTGCAGTCCAGAAACACCAGGGTTACCGGAGGCTGGGAAACACTGTTCTACACACTGAACTCAAGCCTGCTGTAAATCAACCTTTAATTTTAATTTGGAAATGAAAATCATTTTGCAATGAGTCATTACTACCTAACTGCTGGAATGAAGTGGGAACCTATTCAACAAAAGGAAATGAGCATCCTCTCTCTGCTTTATTATGTCCTTCCTTCTCTATGACTGTGTTTATCTGCCACAAATGGTAGAGTGGAGCTTTTATTTAAAAAAGCAAAAAACAGGCAAACAAAACCTCTTACTCTTGTAAGAAGTACTAGACATTCAGGGATCACACATGCCTATTCCTGGACTCTGAACTAATGTACCTACTGAGCTCCAAAATCCATCCATCCAGCCATCCAGCCAGCCAGCCATCCATCATACTGAAGTACGATTGAAAACATGGTGAAATTGTCTCTCCATGTCCCTTAGGGGATTTTCTAAGCAAAAGGTTCCATGTCAATCTCCAAAAAGTGCAGACAGACAAGTGCAAAAGGAGTAGGCCGAGTTAGATCCCTTTGTTTCTATTCTCCTAAACAAACCCCACCAAAATAAATGGAAACTCTGGAAGACGACGGCACCAACCTCATGGTGAGTTCTGAGTACCTTTGTGTTATGCATTTGATGTCTGTTGCTGCTCTTTTATTATCCTCGTGCAAACTAATGCTTAATTTTAAAAAAAATTAATATGGCCTACCAGGACATCTCACTGATGGAATTTTGGAGTCGAGTCTAAGGTAGTTATTCTCCAAACTACATAAAGGCATTTGGGCTGTACGTTTTTTATGCAGTGGATGGCTGCTGCTAATATGTTAATTGTTGTTTATGGCTTCTATGAATTGTATATCACTTTGAATGCTGTGCAGGCAGGAAAGGGATTAACACATTTTATAAACAATAATAATTTTCATTAACAAAATGTATAGGGGGATAAAGATTACACATGAACTAAAAGAGGGACGAGCAGCTTGTGGCCCTCCAGATGTTTTGGGGATGGCAGTTCCTTTCAACCATAGGCAGCACATCCAATAGTTAGGGATGAGGAAAGCTGAAGTCCAACAGGGCTGCAAGTCACTCTCCTTGTTCTAAAGGCAAGATTTTTAGAACCCAAACCACTAATCTTCCCTCTTTCATGGCAGCCTCCACTGTAACCATTTGTGTATCCTTTCTCTCCACCATTTCTCCTGTATGTTCATTAGTCTGGAAACTCCTTGTTGGCAGGGTCCTACCCTATTTCTTCATAATAATTGATTAAGAGCCACGTGCAACAGCAATGTCAGCCTTGCGATAGATGTCTGAATAGAGGTAACTACGTACTCGGACAATCTCCATTGATTTTTTCTTAAGAAAAGGCCATTGGGTGCATAGAAAATATTCATAGCAAAACAAAAGCACAGCGTGACCTTGTCCTAATTGCTCCAGCTTCTAATGTAAAAAAGGCAGAAGTATTAGAGAAGAGTACAAAATGAAACCATCACTAAATAATGCTAAAATGTTGCCTGCAATCACATTTTCATTTTCATCCCTTTGCCAAATTATATTACTGTGGACATCTGATAAACATGCTGGTTACTTACATCAAAGAGATGTACATAATTTATAATCAGGTCTTCAATAACATCGACTTCTTCACTGGTTTGCCCTTTCGTTTGAAATAAGCATGACGAAAACGCCATTGCTAGATTGTGAGGATCCATGTGATTGATTTCGGAACACTTTTGTACCCTGTTTAAAAGTTAAGAAATCTATTTAGAATGCTTCAGCAGGCACCCGTTTGTTCAAATGCTGACTCCTAGGCCACAGCATATATTTCGAACAGACCTCTTGATGCAGAAGATGGATTCCATTAAAATGAAACTTCCTCGAGTACAACCATGTTTGAGTAAAAGCAGCAAAGAAGGTGGTTGCACTTCAAACCTAATAAGTTTTATTTGGCAGAAAATTTTATGGATTGCAGCCCACTTCTGTGCCTTTCTCTGAAGAAGTGGGCTACAATCCACAAACACTTATGCCAGATAAAACTTATTAGTCTGGAATTCTTTGTCATTTTCTTTAAAGTGGTATTACATGTCTCACTGTTTCTTAGCTCATTAACTGAGGTTACTCAAGCAGCCTGCTTTTACACAGACAAATGTTTCTAATTCTCTCAGAGTATAGCAATACATTTACCCAACATAAGAAATAGATTAAGGGTCTGCCAAGGTCTTGAGATAGGATTGTTCCAAGCCATGGCTTGTGGAATGCCCTTGCAAAATCACAAGGGCATTCCACAAGTAAACACAGTGGGTTTTTTTAAAAAAGGACATGAATCTTCACATTCTGATGAATGGAAGTCTTACTTTTTTGGTTTGTAAGACCTGAGCAAGGCTATTAATGACAGGGTCTTTTGAAAGTCATTCATTCTTAGGGTTGGCATATGTTAGAAGCAACTTAGTGGAATACACAGACAATATATAGTATTTTTATTTTTTCCTGTTGTACTTCCAAAATTCTATTCTCTAATAGGCTTTATGTAATTCAGCAGAGTCAGAGATGTACTGGACAGAATGCTGGACTAGAACTAAGAACTGTTTTCAAATCAGCATTTGGCCATGCTTTTATTTGGGGGTGGGGGGACAGCAATGATCAGCCACTTTTTAAACATACCACATACCTCAAAAAACCTGGTTGATCACCTTAAGTCAGAAAATGACCTGATGGCACGTAACAATGGCAAATTATTTGGCAGAATCTAACCGTTCCACTGTTTCATTTTCCCCTATTCTCTTAATAAAAAATAAAATAAAATATTTTCTACAGATTATTGTGTTTTTGTGATCTTGAGGAACTCTATCTTTGCCACTTGGTTGAGCTAAACATTATTCTAGTGCTTACTTGGGACTTCAAGCTTTAAGCCCCCAGACAGTCTCAATGACACCCAGTAACTGTTTTTTTCTTTATTTCAAGCATTAAGTACCCAGAGAACCTCAATGACATCCAATAATCACTCAGGTTTCACCTCTGATGGAGGACCAATTGCTGCCCCACCCCACAATTTTGCCAGGTATGGATGCTGGTTTGGTGGTGACCACTGATAAGGCAAAAGTAAATTATCTTTGGGGAGGTCTGTCTTAGTCCAATCCTGGGTTGGATCAGGGAGAAGAGCTCTCCTTGACAACTGCATACACATTTTCAAGTACATATTCACAACCATAAGTGATAGAAATGTCATTTAAATACATGCACACAACCGAAGGACTTTTGTAAGCTGGACTTTGTAGCTCCATTTATCTGATTTCTAATATCCCCATGTATTGCTACACACAGAGATGCACATGCACAACTCTGGCTATCAGAATATTAATACTGATGCTATTGTAGCTCAGGAGTAGTTTATTTTGATAGGTCAAAGGATGAACCCTCTGGAAGCTGCACAGACTGTCAAAAATGCATGAACTGAAATTCAAAAATGGAGAGAAGCCCATTTGCTATCTTGAAAAAATGACCCCTGTAAACAAGTTAAAAGGTAAATTGCCACTGCCAGAGGCTTCCAGGAACAGTATTCTACCTCCTTTGACTTAAAAAAAAATAGAGGAGGGTGCCTTTTTCTGATTGCTGGTCTAGTGCAAAATTCAGTCTACCAAGAAAGCATGGTGAAAATCCCCAGGAAATTCACCAGTGACAGAAAACTCATTCTGACCAAACCCAGTGGGAGCTCATTATACTCAGAGCCAGTGACTGATGAGCGAGAGCAACCCTCCTCTCCCACTATTGATATTAGTAGCAGCATCCCACAGAGTTGTTTGTTTTTACTATGGCCTGTTCCAATCTGGCCTATTTAGAAGCATAAAATAACTTCTAAAGGCACATCGCATTTGCTTGTACCCACTGTGACTCTATACAGTCCACCTGGAGGGGCCTCTCTCTGTGGATGAATTTCATTTGTGGAGGCCTAAGAATGTTGACAAAACAGTTGGAGGAGTGCATAGTACCACCCATATGCTGGACTGATATTCTTCATGGGAGACGACTGGCTGGATCAAGGAGTGATCCCTTCTCTCTCAACAGAGCTGGAGTGATTACCCCTCCCGAAGATGCTCATTTTAGCTGGAAAGTTTACATAACTATAGCTAACACCCACATCAAAGTTTATGTGATTACCCTCTACAGCTCCAAGCTGTCTTGGATGAGGTGGATTATTTGAACCTGCCGCAGTCAAGCTTCAGGCTTGGCTCTGTTACAGAAGATGGCATAAACCAGAAGACAAGATGAGTACAACGATGCTGATATTTCTCAGTAGCTTCTGATATATTCAGCCATGATACCCTTCTGGACTGACTGACTGACTGTATTGGGAACTGCAGCCACCATTTTTACATAGGTGACTAATTTCAGAAAGCAGTGTTAGGAGAACATGGCTCACTTCCTTCTCATTTCTGCTGTGCTATGATATCCCATACCAACCAGTCTTCTCTCCCAAGCTTTTGACAATAAGAAGATAGGAAACTAACATTTTGCTGTCCTTTCCTTGACACACTCAATCTGTAGCTTGAAGTAGCTGCCTCAGTCTGGTACAACTCGCTCTAGGGCTTGACAAGAGGATTTTTCTTGAGATTATGTCCATGCTATTCATGATCATTCTCAGCTGCATAAAGGCAGAGTTGCTGTGAGAACAGCTGCCAGTTGTCTGGTACAACTGGCTCTAGGGCTTGCCAAGAGGATTTTTCCTGAGATTATGTCCATGCTATTTATGATCATTCTTAGCTGCATAAAGGCAGAGTTGCTGTGAGAACGACGGGTTACTCACCTGGTAACTGTAGTTCTTCAAGTGGACCTCTGTGATTCACACCTTAGGTGATCCATGCCTGCGCGGAGCCTCATCGGAAAATTATAGAGCTTCTGTGGTAGCAAAAAACTACATTAGAATAGGCCCCCCCCCTCCGTATAAGTACCTTGGCTCCAAGACTCTTCCTTCATTTACATCAACTGCTGCAAGAAAGAGAATCCGCATGGCGTGACAGTGGGGAGGTTAGGTGGGATTTCTGAATCACAGAGGTCCACTCAAAGAACTACAATTACAGGTGAGTAACCTGTCATTCTTCTTCATAGCCTCTGTGAATCACACCCTGGGCGACTAATGAGCTGTCTTACAGGCAGGGTGTCACGCCAAGGTGGAAGCCAGAACAGCACATCCAAATGCAGCATCAGATTTCTGTCGAACATTGAGTCTGTAATGCTGGATAAATGTGGATGGCTGTGCCCACATAGCTGAAACGCAGACACTGGGAAGTGGTACTCCCCAGAGCAACACAGTAGAGGTTGCAAGCGCCCTGATGGAATGAATCTCCTGAGGGACTGGCTGACGTGCAAGCTGGAATGCAAGGTGAATTGTAGAAGCAACCCATCTAGAAATAGTTTGTGAAGTCACTTGCAAGCCCTTCTTGGGAGGTTGGTGGCTGACAAGCAGGTGTAGTGAAAGCCGAAAGGGTTGAATACAAGCCAGGCAGAAAGCAAGGGCTCATTTGACATCCAAAGTATGAAGGAGACGGTCTTGAGTGGAGGATGGTGGTGAAAAGAAGGAGGGGAGTACCAAAGGCTGAGAGAGATGAAACTGAGATACAACATTTGAGAGAAATGAAATATCTATAAATAGTTTTACTTTATCAGGGAAAAAACTGAATATAAGGGTAGTCATGCCGTAAAGCTGCCAAATCACTTGCTCTTCGAGTGAATGTGATTGTTATGAGGAAGACTGTTTTGAAGGTAAGCAGGTGGAGGTCCATTGAAGCTAATGGCTCAAAAGGAGGTCTAGTTAGCTGACGGAGGACAAGGGTTAAAGACAATTGTGGAGAAGGTGGATGAACATCCAGGTAAGCATGTGATTAAACCCTCGAGAAAATGCTTGAACATGGAGTGCCAAAAAAAATGAGCCACTGGAGAGGTTGGTGGTTGGTAGGAAACAATTGCCAAGAGGTAAACTTTCAGAGAAGAAAGGAAAAGGCCTGTGGATTTCAGATGTAAAAGAAATTGGAGAACTGTGAAAAGGGATGGGTTGATGGGAGGTAGGGAGGCTGCTGCAGTAAAGGATTGAAATCTCTTACATTTATATAGATATGCTTTCCTGGTTGAAGGTTTTTGCACTTGATGGAGGATATCCATCAGGGAGGCAGAATTCTCCATGCTGCCAGGTGGAGAGCAGGTAGATGAGGTATCTGGGAGTTGTTCTGTGTTAGGAGGTTCAGCAGACGGGGAAGGTGATAATTTTCTGATGATAGATTGTGGAGGACAAGGAACCAGGGTTGCCTCTGCCACCACAGGGCTATAACAATGGTGATGGGTTTGTCTTGTAGTAGATAGATGACTACTTTGTGGAGGAGTGGAAACGGTGGCAAGAGCTATGCGAGACTCCTGGGCCAATGGCCAATGAATGCATCTCCCTGGGAGTGTTTGCTGATTCCGGCACGGGAGAAATACCGTCTGCACTTTCATGAGGTGAAGAGGTTGAGAATTGGTGTGCCCCACTTTTTGCAGAGAAAGATTGTTTGGTATAATTCCCATTCGTGAGGTTGGGAGCTCATACAACTGAGGCAGGCGGTCAGATTGTTGTCTTGGCCTGCAATATGTAGAGCTGTCAGGCAGATGTGATGCGAGAGACACCATTTCCAGAGGTCTATTGCCAAATAGAGAAAGCTTGGAGAATGGGTGCTACCTTGTTTGAGGATGTAGTACATGGCTGTAGTGTTGTC